TGAAGCTGAGTTGAGCTTTATTCAAGCCCACGAGACAGCTGAAGTGAACCTGCCCAGTTCAAGCCTCTGACCCAAATCCAAATGCAGTAGCTAATTGTGATTATTATTTGGGTCTGGATTAATTATACTCTAAAAGCAATTTGTGACAGAATTGTAATTTAGTCATCATAAAGAATGAGTACAAAAAATGAGATTAAGGAGTTCTGCATGAGACTGGTTTTCTTACTTTTATTGAGAGAAGTGAATAAAAAGGGGCAAATCCCCACTGCTATAAACTGGTTTGGCTCCTACCATTTTACAATGCAGTGAAAGAAAGTTTAATACTTTCACTGACCATTTAATAAAGCAATGTGTATTTCTTATTTAGTTTACTTTCCTACTAAGGCACTACCGGGAAATACAAGATTCCTATTTTAACACAGTGATACATAAAAGACTGTGAAAATATTAATGATTTCTGAGTCACAAAGAGCTGACATTTGCTTTTGTGCAATATTCTTTCACAATCCAGTGTGGTGAAGACTACAGTCTTCACTGAGGCATGTTAATTACAGAGGGTGAGTTTCCTTATACGCGTTAACGAATAACAGCTTTCTGGAGTTTATGCAGCGTCAGTAGTGAAGCAGTTAAATCCTGTCTGCCTTGCACTAAAATGTATTGTAAGCTTTGCATCTTAATTAAAAGGGCCTGTGTGGGTTTTAGTTGCTGGAACTTAACTGGAGTTAGGCAAGCGCAGCCAAATCTGAGTCCTGAATAATGCTTGGTTTATTTAGCATAGAACTTCATAGTGATAAAGAAGTCCATTATAACAGCACTTTGCAGACTCTGGAGAAAAGCCTTCCCTGTAGTCTTGACTCAAATAAAAGAAAGGAAAACCTGTTGGTTTCTTCTGCTAGGGGCCTCCTACTCACACCTAATGAGGGACGCAGGTACCATGTGAGCTGAAGGGGACAAGCGTTAGCTGGGTTGCGTTTGAACTGGATCTATCCCACTGCATCTCTGAAGGGTCCTAGGGCATGAAATGAGTGTGACATTTCCACAGGCTGCAGAGCACTGGAGTGAGATGACAGTGACACACAGGCCACCTGGGTGTGCAGTGGAGGCTAACTGGGGTTACATGAGCAGGGTGAAAAGGAGAAGGTCACCCTTCTCCCTCTTGTGCGTCATTCAACACATGTGTGGCAGTCTTTGTGCTGCTCCACTGCAGTCACAAATTGGTTAAGGACTCATGACTCTGTGTTAACACATTTACTGCAGAAACCGTTAACCAGCTTATCCAGATGAAGATGGAGAACGGATTCAGACAGGGGGAATTATTCAGTTTTAGTCTCTGGATGGTCCTCCGTTGTCTAAAAATAACTGCAAATTTAATGTCTTTAGCAACACTGGATTTCAGTCTTTTCTGAAAGACATCTTCCTTAGCCATGCTGTGTCTTATAACATCCTGCTTATCCTGTGGGTGACCTTCAGAGGGGAAGTAATATCACTTGGCAATTGTCAACACCAATTTCTAGTGCCCTGGAGGATTTTTGTCATTTTCAGTGCAATAACTATGGAAAAAAAAAAAACAAAAAAAAACCCCCAAAAACGAACCAAAGCAAAACAACCCCCAAACCGTGGTACTAAGGCAATACTTTCCTGTTCTTAGAGATCAGATACTAGTAACAACTGCTCTACCATTGCATGCAGAGGGGTGGTCCACCAACAGAATGCATTTTATACAGAAAGGATGATCAGAAAGTGGGAAACAAAGACCAGTACTGAAAAGGCCTTTCTAAGAGCACACAGCACCTTAGCATTGGATCTTAAGAGAAGGGAAGTCTCTCACTGCCCACCGAGTATGTAATTCTTTACGTTATTCAGCCTGTATTACCTATCACAAGCAGCTGTTACTTGGTCAGTTGCTACATTCCTCTATTTAACAGTAAAGTTTCTACAATATCCAAGTGTATTTTCTGTAAAATTCACACCGATGTGTATTCTGGCTGTTATTATGAGACATATTAGAGATGTATCTGCCTTGCTGCAGTTTGAAATTACCAAGATATGGGGCAAAATTAACATTATATACATGCAGCAAAAATTGAGGGAAAGAAAGAGAAAAAGAGCATGCATATGCACGCTGATATATTTCATGTTTTCTTCTTTTGTAGGAATTGCTTTCTGAATAATCCTTTGTTGCAAACACAAGATTGCAGCAATGTGAAATAAACCTGCTTTTATCTCATTAATGTGTTTTTTTATAGCCCTTATGAATTCTATTATAAAAAAGATGGAATGGTAAAGATCAAGATCTGTATTAAGAAGCAAGATGTCACCATTTAACTCTTCCAAGGTGTAACTTCCACTTCATTCCTTGGCATTGAGTCTGCTTCTCATAATGAGAATCAGGAGCATCCCGTAGGTCAGTGAAATTCAGGGTAGTGTCAATGCAAGCCTTCAGCTCCCCAGTGAAGAGTCACCAATCCCTAGCTTATATTTGTGATTTGAGGATTAAGCAGAACTCACTTGTTTTTAAAATCAGTATGGAGAGAGCTGTGGATACGTGTATTAATTATTTACTACTCCTCTAAATTTACATAGCTAAAACTAATTTTAGACAGTTAGAACTTGGTTAGCTTAGACTTCAAGAGCCTAAATTTCATCTGTGCTGTTCCCTTGGTGTTTGCAGATTTATGCATATATTTATATTCACTTTAGCTAAATCCAAATTGGGTACGAGTTTGAATGATATGAGTGTGTTCATTTGAAATACAATAATCATAAAAGACAAAGCCTCAAGCCTCCAGCAAATGTCTTTCATACAGTCTATATATTTTAATGGCCTATTGGTCTATCCTAAGAGCACCTGGGGCATGAGGAGTGCTTTAAAATAAGTGGAGTTCTGCATATGGAAAGAAGCCCACTATACTTTTCTCCTGGGATAAGAGGAGACCATAGGTAAGCTGTTAGCCCAGCTTTTAAATACAGATTGCCTAGCACAGTTGGTTTTAACTCATGTCTAGTTGCAGTATAAATAAATACTGAAAATAATCTTATGAAGTGGGGAAACTGGAGTGTTGTCTATCCACTTATTCAGGCTTTTATATTTATTATTTGTGACAGCAATAATGAAATGGTATTAATTTTCCAGTTAATATTAGCATGAATATTGACTTGCGCTATTATATTAAGACACAAAGAAGAAAAGCTTTCCTGCTGCTTTACATAATTGAATAATGCTACTTTAACATTTGCACGAACTTCAGGGAAATATAATGAATTCTGCAAATGCTCAGATTTGCATACTGGAAACAGGAACAACTGGAAAGTTTTAAAGCGCATCTGTTTTATTTCATGCAAAGTGAGGTTGGCTTTCTAAAAAAATAAAATAAAATTCTTTAAAAAATGTGAAGCAATCTTTGCCACAGAGCTGACAAAGCCATGCTTGCATTTGAGCATTAGGAAAGACACAGAATGAAAGTCTCTCATTTCCGAGTCTGACAAAATAGGCAGTCGGCTCAAAGCACGATTTTGGGAGCACCCAAGAATGGCTTAGCAAAGAGGAAATCAGGGACAGCCAGAAGTCACTAAAACCTCTAAGGCATTGAAAACAAGTGAAAACTAGGATAAATAAGTGGTTCAAGTCACTAGATGGTTGTAGCATAAAGAAAACCTATGATAACTGACTGGCCAGGCATAGCTGTGGTCTTCACTGCAGAAGGTAGCGGTGCTACCCAGCCTTCGGATGTGAAGGGTGAGTGTCCAGTACTCAGTGCCACTCTGTGATAAACTTCCCTGAACAGAATCCAAATCTGCATTCCTTTCCCTAAGAAAAATGGAGTCCAGACCATCTTGCACCTAGGCCATTTTATAAACTACTACTTTTTCTATTGATATTTAGCTAACACTTGGCAAAACGAACTGTAGTGATGTTCTCTCACTGTAGTATGTCTAGAACTGCATGAATGCAGGTTAGCATGCATCTTTTCTACTGCCAGATGTTGATGTCAGTATGCTGGATTGCATTCAGAAACAGAGTTAGGAACACATAGTCTGAGATACAGATGCAACTGCAGCTCCATTTTCAAGTTGGAAAGTTAATACATTATTTGAAATCTAGGTATTGATTTCTCTGCTTGCCCTTACTTCTCCTTCACCACTTGTAGTAATTCTTGGGAATGGCTAGCTGCAACTAATTTTATGTTAGTGGAGAAGTCTTATTTTCATTTGAATGAAGATAATAGCTGTAATTCAAAGAATTTGACAGAGATATGGCTGGTGCTACATTGCTCCAGTTATGGATTGTTTGGCTTTCTGAAATACAGCCCTTCATTCATGAGATTCTCACCATTACTTTCTCAAATCCCCTTTCCAGACTCAAGATCATCTCAGGGCTAGGTTTGCTCTTTCTCCTTGCTCAGGTTCAGACAGACTTCTGCTGCCAGATTCTATCCAAAGCTGTCACCTCTGATCTTGTCCTGCAACATCATCTTTGTGGAGCATTTGGCGTCTCTGAGCAAAACAGGACCCCTGCAAGGAGCCCATCAGATAATTTGCTTACTGGCTTTGATTTCAGTACCTAAGAGTTTGCTCAGGACAATCACTTTCCCTAGGCTGTGTCTTCCCCAATCATTTCTTACTCCTTCACAAGCATTACACAGTACTCCTAGGCTCAGAATACAGACTCTTACTACAGCAGAATGCTAAGTGAAAAAAAAAATGCATTGGTGCTGAATAATAATTTATGTAAATGAAACCTTCCCACACTACTTTTTCCCTTCTCCTAGAGGGGGAGCACAGGGCTTTTCTTCTTAAGCCTTCTGGCTTATTGCATTAATAATTCATAACCAGTGTGCTTTATATAGGCCATGCCTCACTCAAAGCAAACTTACAGAAAACCATTTTTCCATCAGTGTTCATCAGAATGGATTTTCTTAAGAACATAAGCTTTTTAAACCACAGATTCTTCTTTTCTGTGGTGAAAAACTGATGAACTGATTATTGACACTTCTCTGCAGAGTTGAAGATATTCACAAAGCAAGGAAGGAGGTGTTTGTTGCAGCAGATTCTGCAGAGTTAATACAGGTAGCACAATTGCATCAGTGGGGGCTTGATTAAACATGTCACTGTAACTTTATCATAAGGAGTTAGCAATACACCTTAATATATTACTAATAGTAATGAATTGCCTTAAAATCATAGAATCAACTGGGTTGGAAAAGACCTGTAAGATTATCAGGTCCAGCTGTTAACCCAGGACTGCCAAGTCCATCACTAAACCATGTCACTTCATGTCTTGGAAGACTGGGAGCAATTTAACAAGTAATTAAGTTATTTTAAGACTATAACAAAACCAGTAATGTTTTACATTCTCAAATAGTAAAAAGTTAACAAACTCTTGAATTCCCATTACTAAGTAATAGCTTCCTAATATTAAATGACTACAGTTCTGTTGTTGAGAAAAAACCCAGATGAAGTTAATATTTTCAAGTCAACCTTGGGAAATGTGTTAAGAAGATGAATGATCTGAGCAGGCCACGTCAACTTCATAAGGTATAAAGTAACATAAATACTTCAGAAGACTTTAAATGCTTAGCACAAAAGGATGGTTTAGCCTCGCTGGCTAACTTTCAAAAGAGATCTTCGCAAAAGAAACTGTAAAGAAACGTGAAAACAAGACAGAACCGAGCAGGAGAAAGCACGTTTTCCTAGGTTAGGGCAGTAGTCACAGTGAATAAATCTGGATTATAGCTAGCTGTGCTTCAATTTTTGCTCATTTACATGTTACATTATTGATACTAAGAAAAAAAAAATGGAGGCATGTAGCTTTTGCCGTTTGGCTTTAAGAGCCAAACTGTATAATAGAGATGAGGAGTCTTGGGAATGTCCTCTGCCTAGATTCCAGTTGATTTTGTGGCAGAATGGCAAAATCAGTCAAAATCAAAAGAGAGTGGCTAAACCTTCATCGCCAGCACCCTGCACAGCGGCCCAGCAGTGGGTAGCTCATATAGGTGAGCCCAGAGCGAAGAAGTGTTGAAGCAAACAAGCAGCTTCCAAAGACTGGGAACAGCTAAAAATGAGGGGGAGGACAGAAGAGAATGAAAACAAATAAACCTCTGAGCCTTCAATAGAATACAACAGTTTTGTCAAGTTAATATTTGTAGACTCAATACTTGGAGATGTAGTCCTCAAGAAACAGAAAACTGTCAATTATCTGGACAATTTCTTCTGTAATAGTAGCCATGTGGTAGTCAGTGTCTGTTCACTAACAAAGACATAGTCCTACTTTTAGCTGAAAACCAGAAATCAATCAGTTCATCTCTTTACACTTTTCAGACCCCAGCCATCACAGAGTTCTCAACTCAGAAAGCAAACTAAGCAGTACAGTTAAAGCACTGATCCTAATGGTCTCACAAGCACTTAGAAACAGTGATGACTCCTACTTAAGCTCTGCATCCCCTGGGTTCCATTTGTTGTCAGCTGTGAGGCAGCAGAGGCTGTCTCTTATCCGCTCCAGCAGGAGTGGAGGTGTTTTTCTCATTAGGAATTACAAAACTCAGCAGCAAACTACACTCCATCAGGTTTGTTTCAGAATGCTTTCTTTCAGTTATAACTTTCCTCGGGAAGTTTTATAATGCTTTGGCATCCCCCAAATCCTGCTTGAAAGCTGTAATAAAAGGAAAAAATATTAAAACAATAATGAAAGAGTGGAGTTATTAATCCCAGCCAACTCTGGCATGCTGCCGGAGAGAAGATAGGTTAGAAAATACTTTTCAGCCACATTCTGACAGCAAGGAATTGTTTTTTCACAAAAGTTAAACCACTGTACCTTCTAATAAAGTTGCGGGAGATTATGTACAATCCACAGTGAGATAAATAATAGGGATTGTTCCTGGATGTTACTGTTACATCGGATTGAAGGCTTCAAGTGAGATAGTGAGGAGCAATTCACATCCACCTGAAACGTGTCAGAATGAAGACAAGTCTAGGTGACGTATTGGGTCGGGATCAGAAGCAGTTTATTTTACAATGCTGTGTAGACTGTAACTTTTGTAATTACAGGTGAATGTTCAAATTCTAGGTGTGTTATGATTTGGGGATTAGAGGGGGAAAATCACATTTTGTTAATTATATCAAGTGGTGCTATTTCAAGTGCAATATGAGAAATACTAAGATAGGAAACTAGCACTATCGGCAGGTTTGTCCAAAGCTCTTTTGATAACTTGAGTTCTTTTCATTTCTTAGGGATTTTCCAGCTAAAAATCTGGAGGTTGCACAAGTTGGTGGTGGAGTGACTCTTCAGTGCAAGGACAGACTGAGAGAGAAAATGGAGACCTGCTCTATTTACAAAGAACTGTTGAAGGCACGAAGTGTGGACCTCTGGCCCTATGGAAAAGAGGTATGCATACATTGTCACTGTATCATCTACTGTCTTTGCAATAAGACAGGTAGCTGCAAAAGCAGTCCAGAAAATGAAGTTAGATGTAGACCTGTTCCTTCCACCAGTTCATGTTCTCCCAGAAGGAGCAATGAGGATAGGATGGATGTGCTCAGGCAGCCTGTTATCTCTTTTCATCCCTATTTATATGCCTAGTTAGCTATATAACTGAGAAAAACATGACAAGTGTAAGTTCTCTTCTTGCCTAGTTCAAGCTCTTTTCTGCCTCTTTTCCCTGCTTTCTTGCTTGCATTAAGGGATAATTTGGCAAACAGGCCTGATCTTTAACTATAGCACAAGTAAACATCTACTGAAGGAATTTATTGCGTGGAATGAAGGAAAGTGTGACCACATGTGCTACTGCAGCTCTGCACCTTCCTCCGTATTAGGACGGTGTGGGTTGCAGCAGGTGTTCCAGGATGGAGCCCACAGTAAAGTGGCAGCGCTTGCTTGACTGTGTTAGGAAGTCCTACTTCTGTGATGGTCAGTAATACCAAATAGTTGTAAGTATTGATCGATACATCCAGGGATATTAGGCAGTTATTTTCTGTGGTTTTGTTTGCAGCTCTGGTCACAAATACTTTGAAGTAGTGACAGGGAAGTGGAAATACAGACATGCAAAATGTGTATGTTATGTTCACTGAACAAGGAAACTCAAAACAGAAACATGAACAAAAACTTAGTAGAGGTGGTCATCAGTCTTAAACTTAGCAGTGGTTTAGGGCTGAAGAGTTTCTTGTTATCACGTACTCATTCCTTCTAGTTGCAGAAAGTAAAGATAAATTAACAATTGAAAATAAGCAAGTCTTCTATTTGAAAACGTATGATTGATATTGTAGTTGTGGGATAGTTTTTGGTAGAACAATAAAAAAATAATAGGCTGGATGTTGTGAACCTGAAGGACATGGATGTGCATAGACAACCTCTTGAAGGCTGGTCTAACTGCTCCTTGTTCTTATGCCATTTCCTTTAAGGTTCATTGGATGAGCATTGGTGTGTTTTAGATAAACACTAATAGGGAACTGTGGTAGCAAAATAACAGAGATTTGCTTTCAAAGCTCATTGTGAGTTTCGGAAATGCTTTTAATAAGAATAATAACAGTCCTCTGAAACTTGTCTGGTGTTCACTCATTAGGAGGAAGTACTGTTCTTACTGCATAAATTGCAAAAAACATTTGTTTTCAGCGTGCGCCTGAGGGAGTTAGCAACATTACCATCCCATATGTATTGCATTAAACACTTTAAGCCACTTTAATAATGCTTGCAAGTTTGAAATCAGACGCAAGGCTGGAATGAATTAAAGGACCTTAAAATGAATGAACCATGGGATTATTTAAGTGTAATTATTTATATTTAAAAATATTATTCCTAAAGCATTCAGTTTTGGCATCCAAAGAGATTGATTTGGCAAGCTCTTTTTATATTAGGCTTAATGAAATCACTTCAATTCAGATATTCAATGTGACCAATGATTTATAAGTGCCTAATTTGACACATATTGGAATGCCATTATCATAAATCTTCCTAAATATCAAATATCATATCATTTGGGCCCCACAGAATTGCTGGTTTCCTGAGATATAGTACTATATTTGTGATGTAAATCATTTTCTAAATTACTTGGAAAAGTGTTATGAAAGTGGATCATTTAATGCTTACCTACCTTTTGTAAAGACTGTTGAAGATTTTAATGAAGCGCTTAGGCAACAACTGTGTCATGGACTTCCGAGTCTATTAGATGGCCAGGCTGTAAAGCTTAATTAGAATAATGCTATGATGTATAGGAAGCTCTGTGCTGCCTTGTTGAGAACAGACAAAATCATCTGGTAAAAAGTTAGCTTTAGAGTATTGGACAGAAACTCCTGAAGGAAAAACCCCAAACGTTTTCATATAGTGGATTAAGAGAGAAGGAAACTAGGGTAACGGTCCACATGCATGTCAGCAGCTGTTTTGGATTGCTACATGCAGGGTAAAGAAAGCCTTTTAGCACAACAGTTTGAATGCTAACTGTAGATTTCTTACTCTCATGAGGAGGATGGAAGGGAGGAGAAAAGCAAACTCCTTTCCCCAAAACTTAGCCTAAAATTTGGCTTCTATTCTCTACTGAGGAACGGGGGATGAGAAGTAGAGGGACAGCACAGGGTTCTTTTCATATCTAGGTAAGAAGGGCCTGACAACAAATGGCATAATAAAATAGCTGATTTAATAAGACAGAATAAAAAGAGGATTGCAGGATAGTGAGTAAATCTTACAGTAAACCTTACATTCCTTTAGATGCTGGGAATCCCGCATTCATGCAGCATCATGGTAAATACAATGGCAAAAAATGCAGAATTATCAGAAGGGTCCTCATGCCATCATTGTCATGATTGTCATCGTTGACACAGGGATACAGAAAGGATCATCACACCTCTATTTGTGCATGTGCACGAATGGATGTATGGTTAAAAGCAGGTGTGCTATGCATCTGAAATGCCCTTCCACTGCAAGGGGGCATGGAGTGAAGTTTTGACACAGTCTATATGTTTCGGTCCTCATATTTCTCCCTGGACATCACCCAAGCCCATGACAAATTACATGTTGACAAATTACATGTCAGCAAATTGCTGAACTCAAAGATGTATGGTTGAAACAAGTCAGATTCTCTTAAATATAAACAGATCTCATTAAGGCTGTCTGTAAATTTTATGTCTGGCCAAGAAAGTGTAAGTATTGTGTAGCCTCAAGATAAGCATAAAAACGTGAATGGAAAGGTCACATTTTTTTTCTCTGACAATAGCAAGAAAGGGAACACTAGGTAGTTTTAGAGCTGAAAAATGTAGTGCTGGAAAGTCGTCTTGAAATAGCCAGTAGAGCTCCACAAGACCAGAGGAGATATATCCTACTTCATTTTTCTTCCCAGAAAAACAAAACCAACCAACCAAACAACAGAAAACCATGTCAGATTCATCTTGGTTTTCCTCTACCACAAAAACCCCTTTGCAATGAAGACTACAACCATGTCTAACCATAAAATCCATTCACTTTCATAATGAGGCTAGAAGCAAATTTCACCTGTGTTTTTGAGGAACATGGAGGCTAGCCCATGCTGCAATAGGATTCATGCAGCTACAAAAAAAAACCCAAGCCAGACCTCCATATATTTCTCTTTCTGAATCGCAGTTCAGTGGTTTCAATATTTTAGAGTATTCACACAGGTATTTCAAATACAGTACATTTTAATATAGCAATATCTTTCATAGAGCATGTTTAATGTTTAACCCATAAGCTTTTCAAAATCTGGGAATTGGGAGGGAGCTTTCTTAAGAGTTTATTGGTTAACAGGGAGGTTTTGGAAGTTAAAAAGAAGTATCTCTTCAAGACAGTGCTGTTTCAGGTGAGAGGGGGTACATAGCGTGATGTGCAAGAAAAGACAAAGTGCCAACGCGTTTCCTTGTTTTGTATACAGAGTATGTTTGTGTCTGGGGGCAGCTGACCAAATGCATAAATCAGATTGACTTTACTGGAGCATTGCCTCTAAAGGATAACATGTTAAGAAACTGCAGGCTTTTCTTAACTTTTCATGCTATTCAGAACAAACAGTAACTAAAGTTTCAGTGGAAGATGTGTCAAGCAAATACTACCGTAGCTTAGAAAGCCAGTAAAAAAAAAGCTTGTAAAATGTTTGTAAGGTAGTCCACCTGATTTTTGTCCAAATCAGATGAATTGCCCACTTTAAATTCCCATTTTTACCCAGTTTAATGATCATCATTAAGTCACAAAAAAAGTCAAACCTGATAACTGATGATCATTAAGTAACAGTTAAAAATTACAGAGGCAGAATTCTACTTCCAAAACCACAATATAGGAAAAGCCATGTAACAATGAAGCATGCATACAAAACCTTGAAGGCAAGAAAGTGTTATAGGGAGAAATTAAAACATTCACCTGGTCGTGAAGTGGATGCAATCCTTTTTCTAAAATGAATAGTATTCAAATTTCTGTCAAATCACACTGAGGTGTTTTTAGAAAGCTGATTTTTGGTCAGAAGAGCCAAACTGGACAACTTGTTAACTTCTCCTTTGGAAATATCTGTAGAAACTCTCATTTAAGATTAAGCATCTCTCATTTCACTGGCATTATAACGTACAAGATGACATTTCTCTGTTATGCGTTCATATCTACTGAGCATAAATGAGAAATAAAAGAGAAAGCACGGCTATGGGGAATGGTTTGCAGTGTGGCAGATTACATTAACCAAGCAACATCACCTCTACAAAAAGGGAATTCCTGCAACCTACTTCCAGCCCCTAATCTTCCATTAAAAATGTTACCGGAATATATCCAGCCTGACTATATTTAATTTACCAGTGAATTACAGTTATAGCAGAATAGTCAAAAGTAGCTAAACTTTTCTAAAAGATGATTAATGTGTGGAAAGAAAGTCATAGCAACAAATTTTGTTTAGGGTCACCATGAGAGGTGAACAACTTACAAATAGTAGTAGCATATAGACACAGGCACATCAGTATATCACATACAAAAAGCCATCTCAGGGAAACACCCAGCAGGCCTTTTGGACTGAGCATACAAAAATCTTTGACTTGTCTCATGTCTGACTTGTTATCAGATTTTAACAAGAAGATCTAATATCTGAAACTTCACACAGAGCGAGGGATGAAATGTACCACAGAGAGTAAAAAGAGTAAAAAGCTATCTATTCATGTTATATGGGATTTGAGAAAGAGAAGCTCTAACAGAGTCAATCTCACAGCAAAGAACGTTTTCATTACCCAGTGGTTAGTTGAAGGCAGCCTAGTCAAACGGCTACAGATTTATTCCTGTGACTCAGAGGCTTTTATTCCATGCATGTATGTGGGTTTATGTTAGGTGATTCCATTGACTTCTGAAGAGTTATCTTGGATTACACTGATACCGCTAAGATGAAGTAAGCAACCTCAAAAAAATGAAACCAACAGTGC